TTTGGAATGTAAAGTTAACATTATTAAAGACTTCTATACAAAAATGAAAATTTGTGAATTGGCAAATTTGATCTATCGGAATCGACAGTCAGAACAATTATAAAAGGTAAAGATAAAATTCTCGAAGCTGCGAAAAATGTTCAATCTTTAAATTCAAGCATCATTTGTAAACGTCACAGTATTATCGCTGAGATGGAAACAATGTTAAAATTATGATGTGATAATCAAGTAAATGTGAAAAATTGTATAATAACATAATTTGTTATACATATGTATTGTCTAAGATTTTATTAAACATTTTTTTCTAAATTATTGTTTTATTTAGTCTCCGGTCCCAATTANAAGTAAATGTGAAAAATTGTATAATAACATAATTTGTTATACATATGTATTGTCTAAGATTTTATTAAACATTTTTTTCTAAATTATTGTTTTATTTAGTCTCCAGTCCCAATTAAAAATTATTTGTATGTATTTATATGAGAAATTATACCCCGACTTAAGCAAATTCGACTTACGCGGTTATTGCTCGGTTCCACCTATCGCGTAAGTTCGGGGTATTACTGTATTAATTAAACAATATAAAATACTATTAAAATGTGATAGAAGGGGTATACTTGTAAAACATAAAAGTTAAAACTTTCCATAAAAGGAAGAAAAACAGATCAAACCTTAAAAATGAATCAATAAAACTACTAAACTAATAGATGTAAAATTCTTCACTGTACATTTATCACATAGACTGATTGACATACAGTGCAGTGAATTAATAAAATAGGGGAGAAAGAACATCTTAAAATGGACTCTTCTTATTTTTGAAGTAATGGTTGCCAGATCTCACTGATCATTGCCAGTGTTTAGATTCATTTTGTTATTTTTGTTGATTTTGATAATGTCTAAGCATTCATATAATTTTCTTTTTATAATATTTTTTTCCCATTTGAAAATTCTGATGTCAAGTGAGATCTTGCAGCCAACATGAGTGGCAACTGCTAAATTAGAGTAATTATACTTTACTGTGTGTATATGTTCTCTTATTCTAGTTTTAATAATCTTTTAGTTTCATCTATGTAATAATAATCTGGTTGACAAGTACAAACAAAAACATAGACCAAATTATTGGTTAACAATATAAAAATTTTTTTTATTAATTGATTCTTTGGTTTTTAAAAAATTATTATTATTATTATTATTGTTCAGTGTAGGGGCTAGGACAATATTGTATAGTATCAATACTCTTTGTATTTTTTCAAAAATGACCAGGATATAATCTAGTTTTTTTATAAATTAATTGCATTTGGTGTTTGGTTTATTTAGTATTGTATTTGTTTGGCCAATTATCAATAATTTTGTTAGAGTAGTTATTTAACTGAAAGATGTGATGTATATGTTCTATTTCATTGTTTTGGTTTATTATATTACTTGTACGAGATTTAATTTTGTTTAAATACATATTGAATATATTCTTTTTTTATGTACATAGGAATACTGGAGTAAAAATTGATGACTTTCTGACATCACAGGGTTTAATAATATACTTTTTGAAAGTGATAGAATTACTAAATCTTTGAACTGTGATGTCTAGAAAGTTCAACATACTGTTATTCTCTTTTTCAGTATTAAAGCATATATTATTTTTGATATTATTGGCACAGTCAAGTATTATTTGAGGATCAGTTAATCAGAACTGTTTTTAATNATGGAAACAATGTTAAAATTATGGTGTGATAATCAAGTAAATGTGAAAAATTGTATAATAACATAATTTGTTATACATATGTATTGTCTAAGATTTTATTAAACATTTTTTTCTAAATTATTGTTTTATTTAGTCTCCAGCCCCAATTAAAAATTATTTGTATGTATTTATATGAGAAATTATACCCCGACTTAAGCGAATTTGACTTATGCAGTTATCGCTCGGTCTCACCTATCGCGTAAGTTTGGGGTATTACTCTATTAATTAAACAATATAAAATACTATTAAAATGTGATAGAAGGGGTATACTTGTAAAACATAGAAGTTAAAACTTTCCATAAAAGGAAGAAAAGCAGATCAAACCTTAAAAATGAATCAATAAAACCACTAAACTAATAGATGTAAAATTCTTCACTGTACATTTATCACATAGACTGATTGACATACAGTGCAGTGAATTAATAAAATGGGGGAGAAAGAACATCTTAAAATGGACTCTTCTTATTTTTGAAGTAATGGTTGCCAGATCTCACTGATCATTGCCAGTGTTTAAATTCATTTTGTTATTTTTGTTGATTTTGATAATGTCTAAGCATTCGTATAATTTTCTTTTTATAATATTTCTTTCCCATTTGAAAATTCTGATGTCAAGTGAGATCTTGCAACCAACAACATGAGTGACAACTGCTAAATTAGAGTAATTATACTTTACTGTGTGTGTATGTTCTCTTATTCTAGTTTTTAATAATCTTTTAGTTTCATCTATGTAATAATAATCTGGTTGACAAGTACAAACAAAAACATAGACCAAATTATTGGTTAACAATATAAAAATTTTTTTTATTAATTGATTCTTTGGTTTTTAAAAAATTATTATTATTATTATTATTGTTCAGTGTAGGGGCTAGGACAATATTGTATAGTATCAATACTCTTTGTATTTTTTCAAAAATGACCAGGATATAATCTAGTTTTTTATAAATTAATTGCATTTGGTGTTTGGTTTATTTAGTATTATAATTGTTTGGCCAATTATCAATAATTTTGTTAGAGTAGTTATTTAACTGAAAGTTGTGATGTACATGTTCTATTTCATTGTTTTGGTTTATTATATTACTTGTAAGAGATTTAATTTTGTTTAAATACATATTGAATATATTCTTTTTTTATGTACATAGGAATACTGGAGTAAAAATTGATGACTTTCTGACATCACAGGGTTTAATAATATACTTTTTGAAAGTGATAGAATTACTAAATCTTTGAACTGTGATGTCTAGAAAGTTCAACATACTGTTATTCTCTTTTTCAGTATTAAAGCATATATTATTTTTGATATTATTGGCACAGTCAAGTATTATTTGAGGATCAGTTAATCAGAACTGTTTTTAATAATTAATTTAAATTATTATTAAATTAAATCAAATTAGTTCATTTCAAAGTGAATAATACCTAAGTGAGAAAAATGTACTGTAGGGTATTGAAAGATATGACGTATAAGTACAAAACTGTATAAATGAAAACATATATAACTAAAGTGTTTTACAATGGAGAAAGTAACATATAGAAAATATTTAACATATAATTATAAAAAAAAATGTACAACATACAAACAGAGTTTGACTGTACTTATTTTTTAATCATATATAGTTTTTTTTACAGCAGTAGAAATAGAACACTTCCTTGTGAGAGTCTATTTTTTTGAATGTGTCATCTGCTTTTTTTCCACATAATTCGACAAAGAATTTTTTGTTTGTTAATAACAATTTTATAGTATTTATCAAGTTATGCTCCATTGTCATTTCATAAATCTTTAGAAGACTTTGGTGATTAACTGCATCATATGCAGCTGTTAAGTCCATAAAAACAACTCTGGTTATCAGTCCTCTCTCATAACTATATGAAAAAGTAATAATCAGAATGAGAAGTTTCATCTACAACCAAAAAATATTCTTTATAAAAGTTTGGTTAATTGCAGAAAGCTTTTTGCCATTGCTTCACATGAAATTGAGGCTTATGAAGCAATTTATGAAAGTATTAAATAAAAATATTTCAAAAAGGCAAATTGAGAGATATATTTGTAGGATCTGGATTTAAAAAAAAAAAAACTACAATTTGAAGCTTGAATAACAAAAATTGAAAAAGAAGCTTGAGTTGCTGGGTTTCAGAAGTAGTGTAGAATAGCATTTTGAGTTTTACATCTTGAAGATAAGTTAAATTTGAGCTTATGGATGTGTCTGTGCTTGAGTTGACACTATTTTCCTGAAAAATTATCTTAGAGTTTACTGCTGTTAACAGATTCATATACTTACCAATCTGATGAAGTCAGCCTCATCTATAATCTAACTAGGAAAATCTAATTTTGGAAAACAAATACTGAGAAATAAAATGCAATTTGTAAAAAGATTGAATAAATGGTTAAAATAGCACACATTTTGTCTACAATCTTCATTCTCTTTATCACAATAATGTTTATAATATTGGCTTTTCCTATTAGACAGATTACTAGTAGTAAAAATGTAGAATATGGAGTAATAGTATGGTGGTCAGTCAAATATAAACCAAACTTTTTGTCCTCTTTATTAAATGAATATTTTTCAAATGTACACACAAGGCATTTTTCTACATAGTTTGCTCTAGCATTTAACTACTGTTGCCACTGGATTGGCAGTTGTTTGATTTTCTAGTAATTAGTGAGTTGTGTCCAAAACCAATTGCTCACAAAGCACTCCACTTATTCATAATTTTCAAATTATTGTCCTCCTAACATCACCGAGTGGTCCAAACAAGTGGTCCTCCAACACACCTTGGCAATATGTCCAGGGTGTGTTGGGGGATGTCCAATACATTTGTGTTAATTTTCTTTGAGTTAGGGTGGTAGTCTGAGGCCTTGCATTGTCTTGTGTTGCAAATGGGGATACCGCATTTTTGGATTGATAGACTGCCTTGACCTTGTTCAACAGTTTGCAGTAGTAAGTAGAATTACAAGTCTTTCATTTATAGAGGAAACCAATGTACGCGACCTCTGCTTATATCTAGTCAAATTGTTTAATATCTTATTAATTTATTAGCCTTGTCGTAGATTAATTAAGAATATGGCTGTTCATTTGATTAAGAAAACATTAAAGAATAATTTAAACATGTTTTTCTACAATCTTTTCATATTTATTTTATTTAGGATCTATTCTAATTTTAAGGAAATTAATATTTTTTTATTTTAGAAAATCTTTAATTTCTGCATTTATGATTATTATACTTATATTAATGAATATAAAATGTAGCTTTATTTATTTATTTTCAGTCTGTTGAAAGTGAACTTCTTGTTGTATGGCCAAATTTATTTCCCAGTACATCTACTTACTCATTTTGGTTAGTAAAATATTTTTTCAAGTTATTTTTTAAGTCATTTTAGACATACAGTATTATTTAATGAGAATAGTTATAGTTTAATGAATCTCATAAAAATAAATTTACATTCTGAAAAATCTATTAATAATCAATGATATTAATTTATCTTGATTATTTTTTATTTAATATCTAAAGTTTTGTTTCAATTTATACATAATTTATTTTTCAGGGCCCATGAATGGAAAAAACATGGCACCTGTATCATTTCCATACCTCAACTTGATAATGAATTAAAATATTTTACAATGGCAATTTACCTTCATAATAAGTATAATTTTAGAATGTTAGTATAATTTTTCTCTAATAATCTTCATTTAAAATTATTTTATTATTAGTATAATGTTTTGCAAAATAGAAGTTTTGACAGAAAACAAAAGACTATAAGAAGGAATTGTAATTTTTAATTGTTTTAATCCTATTTTTTTATTTTTGCCCCAATTCCTACAAAAAAAAACTTGAATTCATTTCAAGATATTTCAGTTTGATAGCTTTTTTTTCAAGTAACCCTGTGGACACTAAGAGGGTTTTTTTTTTCATGCTTGCAGTAGGGATGACCAGACTGTGAACATACACCCAATATATCTGGAACAGATCGGTTTGATCAGTTCCACATATGTTTGATCCATGGAAACTTTCTCACTGGAATTTTTGTAAGTCTGATGCTCTGGGATCATCTGGAATAATAGGCACCTACCTTAACCACCATTTGGCTGTTGTTTGATAGTCATTAACAAAAAAACAATAAAAAAACACATGCTATTGCATTGGGTTACTTGATATTAGCATGCTTGTCATTATTTATTTTAATTTAACAGCATATTAACAATAATCAAATATTTATTTCTGTCTTATTCAAGAATATTCAAAAACCTTATGTGGTTTTCTGCTATTTTTCATTCTCTACATATTTACTTACTGATATTTAATCATTAAATATATATATTTTTTATTGTTTTTGCATTATTTGTCAGCACAATACTTAACTTTATACTGGAAAAGTTTCATAATTGTTAAGTGTTCAGTAAATTATGTTAAATCATATTTTTAGAGATGATAGTAGGAAATTAAATGCATTTTTTCTAGAAATCAAGTGCAAAACTCCAAAAATATCATTTATTTTGCCTCAGATCCTTTTGGTTTACACTATATGTTGCAAAAATATTCTCTACACAAATTTTAAAGACAAAATTTTGGTACACATGTGTGTACATGTACAGGATCTTCCAAGATGAATGCTACTATTTTAAATTACTGTAATTATGTTAATTTTTATTTGAGAAGTATATGATGTACACTAATTGATAGCATAATCATCAGAGTTTCATCTCCCATCTGTATTCAAATATTCTTATTGTCTACTACCACTAGGAAGCATCTTAAATGAAAATGGCAATTCTGTAGTAGAGAAGACATTTTGTGTTCTGCAGTTTGAAAAATTGGAATCACTCACCATTGTGCAACATGAGTAATTTTCAGGAGCTATAGAATTGTGGCTACTGTGGGAGAAGTGATAACAAATATGCTGTTAGCGAGCATAGGAAGAATTTGAGTATCAGTTGAATGCATGTAGTGAGATGAAAGGTGCACTCATTGAAAAATTCAAATGGGCAAATGTAAAACTTGGACAGTTTTCCAATGATTTAATTTACATTATTACAATGTTCTCAGTTAATAATTAACATAATAATAATAATTTAAAATGTTAAAATTATTTTTGGAAGACCATGGACACACTGGTATATCATTTGGTTACCAGCTGTAAAATGTGTATAATATTGTATAATTGCATTAAGAAATTATTAAATTACAGAAAAAAATGAAATTTTTAAAGTAAAATATAATAAAAATTGTTTCACCAGGTTGTTAGAAAATGGTGGTATTCTTCCAGATGAGAGAAAATTCTATGACGTAAGTAGTTTGTTAAAAACAATAATTTAATGATATTAAATTGGCAAATAATCTTTGCAATTGTATATTTCCCAAATAAAATCAGCACTACTGTTTTTTATGGAGAGTAATAATTGTTTCACCAGGTTGTTAGAAAATGGTGGTATTCTTCCAGATGAGAGAAAATTCTATGACGTAAGTAGTTTGTTAAAAACAATAATTTAATATCATTAAATTGGCAAATAATCTTTGCTATTGTATATTTTCCAAATCAAATCAGCACTACTGGTTTTTATGGAGAGTAATAATAATGATGAATTTTATAATTATTTTTTTANGTATTCAAATATTCTTATTGTCTACTACCACTAGGAAGCATCTTAAATGAAAATGGCAATTCTGTAGTAGAGAAGACATTTTGTGTTCTGCAGTTTGAAAAATTGGAATCACTCACCATTGTGCAACATGAGTAATTTTCAGGAGCTATAGAATTGTGGCTACTGTGGGAGAAGTGATAACAAATATGCTGTTAGCGAGCATAGGAAGAATTTGAGTATCAGTTGAATGCATGTAGTGAGATGAAAGGTGCACTCATTGAAAAATTCTAATGGGCAAATGTAAAACTTGGACAGTTTTCCAATGATTTAATTTACATTATTACAATGTTCTCAGTTAATAATTAACATATTTACAATAATTTAAAATGGTAGAATTCTTTTTGGAAGAACATATATTTGATTAATTTTCAGAAATTTCTTTGTGGAATAATGATTTTCAAACAGATGATAGGCATTATTTATTAATTTGTAAAATGTATTATTTTCTGTTACTATTATAATAACTCATATTAAAATTTTATTATTTAATATAATAATAATTGTTGCCAAAATAAAATTTTTGTATACATAGTTGTTTTGATAAATTTTCAAATTGTTTGATTTTCTCAATTGGCATTTTGCTATGGAATTAAGAAAAAAATCAAATAGATTAGAGAAATTTTATAAGTATAGGCAAATTTTAAAAAGAAAATTTCAATATTCTGGCTTTAATTTCAGAGTTCCATACTCAAACCAGTTTTTAAGGATTCTAAAATTAATTAAAATCCTTAAAATTAATGGAAAGGAACAAAATTTATTAAAATTTTATCCTTCTTTCAGTATTCCAAAGTATAGGGTGGCTCAAAAGTTGGTTAACCAAGTTCTGTGTTACAGGTACAGTTGTGNATTATTCTTTAATAAGATTTGAATAATTGGTTAAATTCTTATTTAAATCATATTGGGTGATCCAAAAATTTTGTAGAATTTTCATTCAAGTTTTTGTCCTTCAGCTATTTTTGTTTTGTAATGACCATATCTTTGAGTTTAAATTACATGCAGTACATCTGATGTATTCTGTACAATAAACAATTAAGAAAACTAAGTATTTAAGCTTAAAAAGTATATAATAATAAGAATATACTCTCTTATAAATCAGGACACCTTATAATATATGAATTTGTAGAGGAATTATTTGACAATCATCTCAAAAAAATATGATGTTCATGGAAATCATCCACAAGCTAACATCACTTACTGAAAATGATTTTCTGTTTAAAAATTAAAATTTTAATGTAGATGAACCATGTTCTGGGATACCATCAAACATTGACAAAATGATTCTTATGAAAATATGTAGAAATCCATCACAAACCATTTAGAAGATTGGAATTGTAAATGTTATTGCAAAACCAATATTTGATCACTTTATATTTGAATGACCATGTTCATTTTAATATAGTTTCTATATTCACTATCAGAAAAAGTTTGGACTAGGTTTGTGTGTATATTGTTGTTTTTGCAACAGAAAAATGATTCATTTTTGATAGAATAGTGACTGGATATTAAAAAATGGGTACACTACAACAGCATGAACAGAAAATGACATTGGGCCAGTCAGAATGAACACTTAATATTACTGCAAAGCCAAGAGTATACTCTAAAGACATCTAATCTAAAAGCAGAGTGTAAGTCCACATGATGCAGAGCATTTGGATCACAGACACTAAGCACATACACTATGAACTGTTTAAACCAAACAATGTCATCAGTACATAAAAATATTCTACAAAACTAAAAAAAATTGGTTTCTACAAATTTCTAGAACTGTCCAATACTTTCAAATAATGATGTTATTTTATAACACAAAACCATAAAGAGCAATGTTACACTTTCAAGTCTGACCTTTTAGATGTCATGTTTCTGTGGACTGACCTTTATTGACTTTTTTTTATTGTTTTAAAATGTGTAAGATTAAAATCTTGCACATTTGAAAACAAACAACTTTATCACTTCTATGACTAGTTTATATTAAAGATAATTTTTTCCTGTTCAGTTTGATATTTAATAAGTAAGAATTTGTTAATACAGATTTGATTGTTCATACTTTGGATTTTGTATTTGTATACATTATATTTAATTTTTTAGCCTTTATTTATAATTGCACCATTTGAAAAATGTATGCTGAATACCAATTGGGTAAATGTTAAATAGAATGTCAAAGAACAGAAAATTATTTTCAAAGATATATGATGATATGTGCAATGAAATTTTAGTTTGTTTCATTTGTCATTCCGGCAAATGTGCACATATTATCTGCAATAATTTGATATTTATATACTCATTTACTTATTTGTATTTACATTTTAAAAGAACTAAACATTGAATTATTTAATAATAATAACTTCAACCAAAAAAAAAGGCAGAAAAGCCTTTTCTTGCAAAAAAATTTGATAAAAGTTGAAAAATTGCAATATTGATTTCAAATTTCGATCTTAAACTTTTGTCAATATATGAAGCTAATAGGATGACAGCTATAGGAAATACAAGCAGACACATTTAGATTAAAAGTTATGGGGATAGTGCTGGGTCCAAAGGTCATTCCCGTATCTCACACAATTACTGCCCAGAAAGTGTTAACTCTCTATTTAATTAATTCTTGTAATAAATCCCTAAACTCTGGTTTTTGTGTTTGCATTGTCTGTGACAAACTAAACTAAACCGAAAGTTTGTCTGAAATGCATACTAACAAAGAAAATCTTAATAAGAATGATGTATCAAATTTGTGGCTTGTCTATTTTTCTAAAATGGAGTAATAAGTTCAACCTTAGAGAGTTATCATTATGCTTATATTTGTAGTTTAATCTAGACAAGCAGCTCACTGTAGTTACTGCAAAAACTGCCAAGGTCAGTTAGAATGTTGTAATTCATTTGCTATTTTCACTTGATCTGACTCCAGTTTCCACCTAGTTTGGGTTATTGCAAAATTCATTTACTAGATTTAGATAAATTTTTAATTCAACCTGCCAGTTTTTACAAAAGAAATTCATCAGGAACTGCTTTATTGTTAGGCACTTCAGGCATTGCTTAGGATGGCTAAATTTTGGAGGTAACAAAATAGAAAAATTTTTGTAAAATTTTTTTTATTAAAAAATAATATAATGT